CTACCGGTATCTGATATAAAAGCTTGTTCTTTATACCTAAAATAACGTATAAAAAATAGCAAACTGTTAACTTTACTAAATTATTTTAAAATATAGCCTATACATTTATCCATGCAATAGATTTAATTTTATTCGCTTCTTAACCCATTTTTACTTTGGTATTTGAAGAGTTTGGCTGTTGAAATTCCTTTACGTTTGGCCTATATTTAAATAACCATTTAGTCAGCATTAGTATAATTATTAAATTAACACGAATAAAATTCATTTAAATTGTATTTTAATATTGCACAGGAAAACTTAAATTTATTAAAATCATATCTAAAGTAGCCTATATAGGCCTAGCTGGGTCTGTGTATATTTTCTATCAGTGATGGATTATTTACTAAAATTTATAGATTTTAACTAATTATAACGATTAAAATATGCTTAAGGTATTTATGTTTAAAGAATTTTGCAAAATAAACTTTAAATTTAATTTAATATTGTTTAGATTTTAATATGTATCAAGACCTAAGCTAACCTTTAAATTAAGAATTGCTCCATTTATCAACATAAAGGAAAAGTAACCTATTTTAAAAATGAATTGGAAATCTTCAAGATAACCTGGATAATAATAGTTAGAAAATAATCGATAAGAACCAAGAAAGAAAAAAAAATAAAAAAAGAATATTCGTGGTTAGTTTCAATACCGATAACACCTGACAGATGAGAAGAAACTATGATAATTCCATTCTCCCAGACTTGATATTAAATTTACACCCATACATCCTCCACCTTCTGGAAGTAAGCAATTTAAATCAAATTTTTGGAAGCTGTGGTCTATGTCAGTCGATGGCTGGCTCTAGTCTGCCAGGCAACAAAATCTCATCCAATCAGAAATAGCTTTTCATTAATTGTGCTCTCTTGAATAACTGCTAGAGTTTTAATTATATTCTGTAAACAAACAACGGACCAAAATCTGTCTTAATTCATTAAATCTAATTAAAAATTATAGTTGATCTCTTATTACATTAGCCTACATTTTCGAGTAATATATTTAATAGAGCAAATTGTATCTTCGATCGAAATTTTTGGGGGTAAATCTGAAGATCAGGGGGAAAAGAATTTAGATAAAAGAAAAGAAGGTGAAATGGGTTTAGTTGAAATCCTTAAAGAGATTTTAGGAAATCGCCTTGTCCGAATGAGAGAGGTGAAAGTCGTCAAATTCGAGGAATGTTCAAAATAACTTTTATGATGATTCGAGTTCGTTGAACAGTAAAAAAAGGTGTTATCTTTAGTTTTCTTCTGGCAATCTTGCTTGTCTCAACATAATTTTTTAGCGCTTGGCTGATTTCATTGGATGCCCGAGACTCTTTTTGATACAAACAATTGCACTTAATTATCCAGAGCTTCTAAACATTAAGCATATTATTTACAGGTTAAATCATTTGCCAGATTTCATAGTAGTTAAGCTACTAAGTGACGTTTTAAAATGTCAATATGAGGCTCGGTTCTTACTGACGTTCAACCTAACATTTTCTCCATTACGAAAAGCGCCTCTTATCTTCCAACAGTTCTACTGCGCAAAGCTCTTATACATTAATTTATTTAACAGTTAAAACAATATTAAACTGTAGGCATTATACTAAATAATAAAAACTGCGTTTAAATCTGTGCTATTTTTTTTAAATCAAAATTAAAACTTTGACACGAAATAGTTACTCGAAGCGTTTGCATTAATTTTTATGTAGACAAAATATTACTATAATTTTATGAACGTTTATTAAAGTAATATTAGTTCCTTAATTAGCTTACTAATAAATAAGTTATGGTTATAAAGTACTTGGTGAAAATGGAAGGAAGCTAAATCTGATTAAAAGAGGAAAAGTTTGTCAGGAGAGAGAAAATTGTTACCGGATGTGTTTTGATTGATTGGACAACGTAATCTTGTCATATGTCATAGCAATGACCAATCAGAACTAAGATTAGAAGCATCTCATCCACTTATTATCTCCGTGATAGCCTGAGTCACAGGTTAATCTGACGCTAGAATAAGGTCCTAACACCTGTCATTGTCCATTTGATACGTATTAACAACCATCCTCGACAACTTCTATCGATCCTCATCAGCACTGTCTATCTTCGAATTCGACTTTCTCTACTTTTCAGGTGCTTCTGATATGACATGACAAAAAGAATTTCTTCTGCTTCACTATCAAAATCTTATTTTCTGATAAGCTTAATTTTGATAAGATCTAAAAAGATATAATTAACTTTTATATAAATAAATCATAAATATAATAATTTACTTCTAAGTACTAATCCTATATTTAAATTTACTATAAATTTATAATTTTTAGATTAAAAAAATTAAAATTAAAATATAAAATTTCTTAATTTTAATTAAGGAAATTTGTCCTTTTTTTGTCGTAAAATGTTTTATTAAAATTATTTTAAACATAATTAATAAGAACAACTTCATAAAAGACTCTTTATAAAGAGAATAAACTTTATAGTAAAATAAGCGAAATCCAATAAACAAATATTATAAATGATAGAATATTTTATAGTTTTAACGTTTATTTTCTTTATCTAAATGTTATTTCTTTCGATATCGATGCTTTTAAGGTGTTTTATTTTTCCAATTACATAGATTTAGACTACTTTCCTTTTTTCCTACGGGTCTATAGCTTTTACACTAAAGGTCTATCTTTACAGCTGTTTTTATTTTTATAGTAGAAAAATCTCTTTCTCTAAATTCTGTTTTCTTCTTGAAAGTCTGGTTTTTATAGCAAAAGAAACTAGACTAAAAAGAACACCTAAAAAATAAAAGACTTTGCATGCATTCGCTTTGCTGTTGGATAAATAAGTTTAAATCATTTAAATCTGTTTAAAAATTAATTGTAATTAACCAATTTACTTATTTATTTATAACTGATTAGTATATTTTACATTCTTTAAGTTTAATCACAAGGTTTTATGAGTGGGAAGGTTCTTCCAGATACCATACAAGCAGCATACTTGATCATCAGCCTATGGAGTTTAGATCGTTTTTCACGATAATTTTCATTATATACACGAAAAATTTTTATCCTAATCAACTCTTAAGACGTTATTCTAATCAAAATTTAGACTAACGTCGTTAATTCAGTGATTCAGAAAAGAATAAGAGCGTTATAATCGGACTAAGATTCAATTTTAGAAACGAATTGCGCCATTGAACGATAAAATTATAGATATAAAAATATAAAAAATTATTTCGGATGCCGCGAAGGGAAAATGCTAATTGATTAGCCATGTCACGTAAAATAAGTGCAGGACTTTGGATGGAGTGCAAAGGAATCTTGTCTGTAAAGCTTAATGGCTCGGACGGAAAACACTTAAAACGAGACCTACAAGATAAGAGACTGACGATAACAGGCATCTCCTGATTCTGCACCAGAATAGGCCTACAGGCTACTTAAATAGCACAGGAAGGCATTCGGTATGACTAAAAGATAAACCTATTATCTCGATTTTTTATGTCTCAGTTTATGACTTAATTATTGAGACTGAAGGAACCTAATTTTTGTTGTTTTAAAAAAGAACGTGACAAATTTTAAATAAATATAAGCTTGTTTTTCTTTCAATTTTCTGCATTTAAAATATCAATAAGTTAATTTATTCTTACGAGAACGAGTGCTATTCTAATTGTATAAGCTATTTATCTTATCAACTTGGAGATAATGTAGAAAATAATTTAAAATTCTCTATGAATTTTTATTTAATTTAATTACTGAATTTGAAAGCATCATTAGACACAATTTATGAATTTTAAAAATAAAATTTTTATTGTTTTTTTTTTATTACGTAATTTTGCTGTTTAGGAAATTCATTTAGGTCTACGTAAAATGATTTATTCTCGTCTCATTAGACTCTAAACGAAAGACAATTTTAAGCAATTACCACTTATTCCATTAAGAATACGCTTGGTATAAGCAATTTTTCTATTTTTAACTAATCAATGTTAATTTAAAACTTTGGTTTACTTGCCTCATTATTTATTAAGAAAAAATCTTACATTTTCCAGAATACTTTTCTCTGTCGAATAAACTAACTTAAAAGGCTTTAACGTAGAGAAAAACGCGACAATCTCAACATTTATATACTGCGAGAAGTCCTTAATAATTAAGACGAGCCGAAGATGAAGAATCTAAGCTTTTCGAGCAATTACTTCACTTAAAAGTGAAGCAGAGAGCTAATGCCAGTTAATTAGGCTAATCTAATGACTACAATTTCATTAATCCTACGTATATATTCTCATTCTTTCTAGGATAATTAATTTTCTTAAATGGAAACATGATACAGAATTTTTCTATTTTTTTCATTTTTTTGGCAAAGACTCCGGCGTGTGTCAATCATTGCGTGTCAATCTTTCAGCAATTCAAAATATGCGACACTATACTATTTACTGTCGTGTGGATTCTTAACGAGATAAATGTCCAACAAGAATGATAATTAATTATATTAAACCTATTAGATATTATCGTTTAGCTACAAATGATTTAAATGTGCCAAAATGTTTTTCGTTTCCTGGTCCAATTTTTTTTGATAAATTTGAACTTTTCTTGTAACTAAGAAAACAGACATTACAACTGTCTATCATTTTAAGCTCATTAATGATTGGCATCCCCATTTTATATTTTATTTAGTTGGCCTATAAATATTTTTTTCGGTTTATTATTCTATCTTTCTATTATTTATAACTGATATATCATTTTAGAAGTAAAAAAACATATTTCTGAGAATTAATTTTGAGATTAAATGTTAGAAATACGAATATATACATATAAGAAAAGTATTAAATATAACAAAAGTCGAAAAAATTCTTAAATATAGGCCTATGTAAGTAATTGTAAATGTAACTTGACGTTTTAGAAACCTTGTTTATCGATTTAGCATCTAATAGGCATGAATGTTTTACTTGTATTTAGTTTAATATTTAAAAAAATAATTAGCTAAACTAAATTCATTTTGTATAGGAGAATGTTTCCGACGCTGAGAATATCGTTTAGCGGAGTGGAGAGCCACACCAAATATGCAGTGCTACTGGATATCGTGCCCATAGACAATAAGAGGTATCGTTATGCCTATCATCGATCATCGTGGCTAGTGGCAGGCAAAGCAGATCCCCCCTCTCCTGCTCGCCTCTACCTCCATCCCGACTCTCCTTTCACAGGAGACCAACTTCGCAAGCAAGTTGTGTCTTTTGAGAAAGTAAAACTGACAAATAACGAGATGGACGACCAAGGACATGTGAGTATATTTTAAGTTTAGTAGTTAAACAAACAAGTTTCTGATGGGCCTTTAAGAGCCGAGGCCTTTCAGAAGGGCGGCACTTTTCCTTCCAGGCCTGAGATATGGTGACAGATCACGCTACCTATAGCGATTGAAGCGAAACAGATGGTGTATAAGAGGAACAAGATGTGATTAAATTCTGAGTCGTATATCAGTGACAGTTAGAAAAACTAGTTGGTTAGACAATGATTGAAACAAAATGAAAAGGTTTGCTGCTAGAAAAGCATTAAATCGTTGTTTCTAAAGAAGGACTTGATATTTTATATTCATGGAACTATTAACTTCTTCTACTCGAATAAATTGATCAATAATTTTATAAAGATCTTAAATAATGAAACTTCTGCAAGTTATAATTATATTAATATGTATTAAATTATAAATTTCTTCATTTTGTGAATAAATAAATTTTAATTTTAAATTGATAATAAATCAATTTTATATTAATAATTATTATTTTACTTCAAAGTTTTCCAATGAAAATTACATTATATCAATACAAAAGCCTGTTGTGTTACCGTTTCTATGCCTATATTTAACATAGCTTTCACAGTTTTAGATAAAAGTTTAATCATTAATGCTGAATAATTTAGTAATTTGAATTTTTCTTTCGTATATTTACAGATAGTTCTAAACTCCATGCACAAATATCAACCGAGAATTCATCTGGTTAGAAGTCCAAGTAACAATCAAATAACAGAATTGCAATCGAGCGAGTTCCGGACTTACGTTTTTCCAGAAACGGTATTTACGGCAGTAACAGCATATCAAAATCAACTGGTAAGACATATTTTTATATATAGGGTAATTAAATTCCCCCGCTGTTATAAGAGACAGGTGAAATGTCACTCGTAGACCACACCAGGATTGTCCCTGCGAAGGTGTTTTATTGGTCAGCAGCGGGGGTCTTTTTTGGTAGTTCCAGGTGCAACACGACGTAATTGGTGATCTGTCAGACTTTATTTTAGCTTCAAATCGTAATTTATGTTGTTGACATTTACAATCTGGAAACTCTAGATTGGCTTATGAGTGCTTTACAACTTGTACCGTAAACTATCAGATTAGTGGGGTCGTGACCTACTGAATACACAAGTCTTTTCTTTTTAATAGATAACGAAGCTGAAGATTGATAGTAACCCATTTGCCAAAGGATTTCGAGATTCTTCACGTTTAACCGAGTTCGAAAGGTAAGATGCTTTGTTCCCACCTCGATCATCTGTTTAAATAGCTTCCGTGACCGCAAGTAACTGCATCTATAAGTTACTTAAAACTCACGGAAGTTTTATGTAAAAATAATACTCTCAATCGATTCACATGTTAATTATAAACAATTAAACTTTAGTAACCTTAGTAAAGTTTAGTAACTCCAAAAAACGGTATTAATGAACGCAAAAACTGTACTGAAAAACCAAGAAAAAGAAAACAAATTGTAAAATGTAAACAAAATATTTTACAGTAACGAAATGATAGCATTAATTACAGCACCCCTTAAGCAATTCTCAGCTTAAGATAAGATTACTTCAATATTATCTAATAATAAAACATCGACTTGTTTATTTATAAACAGTCTTTGCTATCGTTTCTAAGAGCCGAAAAATTTTTATTTCGTTTAAAAAAATTTTGATGTAAAATTAATAAAATATCAAAAGTATGTTTGTAGTATCTTTGGGTTTTTTTTACATTTTAACGTAAACATTTGTTTCTAGAAATATCAAAACGTGAAGAAAATACAGTTCATCTAGTCTAATACAACTCTTAATTATGCTAAAGTATTTTTATAATATATTCCGAAGAGGAATTTTAAAAGGAAACATCATTAACTTATTATACTTTAAAATAGTTTAGATCAATTTTGTGTTTTTGCATGTAAAATTTGTTTATGAAATTTTCCATTTTTTCTCCCTCATAATTCATTGTTCTCTTTTCTGATTATATAAAAATGGCAGAATTTTTTATTGAAATTATTTTATTTTAAAAATTAATCATATTCTTCGATACTTCTGCAAACCATATTATTATTAAGGGGTAAAGCCCACTCAACGATCTAGACTGAAGAAAGGAAGAGAGTGAGGGATGTGAAAGATTTTAATATTGTTTTTTACTAATCTGTGCAAGTGAAATGTTAAAATAAGATTTCGAATTTTATGAAAATGGAATTTTATCAATTACAAAATTATTGATTATAGATTTTCTCAGATAACTTTTAATTCAGATACGTCGGTTAATGTTTAATAGAACTATTTACATTTACATGAAATATAATATCAATATAAGCTTCAATTTTATCAATTTTTGACACAGAAAACTAAAAATTCCCGTTTTTACCATTGAATCTCGGTATCTTGGATGTATTAATATTGTTTACATCCAAAATTCTGACTGTTTTATAATTATATTTGTTAATAATATTTTAACTCTTCTAATTCTGGACTGTTTTATGTATTAATAATCTTGAATCTCTTTCAAAGCATTCGTTTCATTTAAATTTTGTTTATAAAAGTTACAAACATTTTTAATAACAAAACTTTTAATTTAGAAGTTTGAATTAAGTCTAAACTCGCTTATTACTAGGGAGTCGGTTTCCACAAAAGCGCTCTTGATACTGCCGCCGAAATTGCTTATTTCAAAGTAATTCATCCATACAAGTTAGTTATATACAAGTTATTTTTGTACTCTATTATGATCTCTACAATATAAGGATATACTGTAGTGTCTTGCTTACAAATAACCAGACCACTATTCTATCAAATCTTTATTTCCATTAAGAGAAATGATTAAAATATAATTTCTCTAGGTTTAGATTAAATAAAATAGCTCAAATGTTAAAATTTCCTTTTACAAATTTCTGCATAACATTTTTAATTTGTTTAATTAATTTTCGCTTTAAGGAGCCTAAGAAATAAGCTTTATTTATAGAGCTTCTATAATATTGAAATCGTTTTAGTAAAAGATTAAATAATATTGCGTGAGAAATTCTTATGATAATATTTTAGGAACCAGAAGTGAAAGTTGTGAGAATTTTTTGTTTAAAATTTCTCTTTACAAGTATTAATTTCCAAGCTCATAACTTTGGTAGGAAGCAGTAACTTCAGAAATAGATATATTCAATGGAAACTTGTTTTTTGTAAACTTAAATATATTTTAAAAGGCGCAAAAATATTTACGCAGTAAGCAAAAACTTCTATTTACGTAATTATTAATTATAGACGATTTACAGTTTTGTAACTAAGAGTGTCAACCCACGGGTGGTCGTCACTCGAATGTGGGCATAGTTAACATTTCCTTCTGTTGACAAATAGATCCAGGAATATCTAAACCAACATACCAAGGAACCTCATCCGCATCTCAACAAGACAAACATATTATCCCTGGCCCATTTCAATTTTGGACAAGTCTTGTTAAGGACGGGATAGTCATACTTCAGGTGGGTCGGGACAGGAAGTGTCATGGATTATTGAGAAGGCTCCCGAGTACCGAGAGTTGAAGTAATTCGATAAGATGTCGCCGGAGTTGCAATTAGTTGGTGGCCCACTCCATATGCAGCAGCCGAGACATTGCGTGGGGTCCAAATGACGCGAAGAATACCAGATGGAATAGCACCCAACGCTCTATTGTAGGGCCTTCAACTCTGACATTTGACATTGTCTTAAGAAGATGTCATCACATTAACGAAGAGGATTCGCTTGTCATTTTATCTGCAAATTACTAGTTGTTCTTAGAAGTCAAGCTTTGACGAATTCGAAGTTAAAAATGGATCCAAGATCCTAACTTAAATAGTTGACGAATTTGAGAGTTTATTATTTAAAAAGAACAAAATACAGATTAAAAATAGTAATTATAAATAAACAAATATAGATTTTGGGTTAAAAATATCTTTTATTTATTTATTTTTTTCTAAGAAAATAAAAAAACACATTATAGATCATTAGAATCTTTATCATTAAAGTACAGTTCAATTGTCATAAGTATGATGGTTGATAGTGTAAAAATGAAAAATTCTATATTTTAATAATAACTTCGAATGTTCATTTATTAGTAGAATATATTATTATGAAGAATTTTAAACGTGAACTCCATTTTAAACATAATTAAATACAATACAAGTTCAGTTTTCATCGGCACAAGAATTTTACGCTTAAAATTATGCTTATTTTACTTAATTTTAAAATTATAAACAGATTATATAATGAAAAACTCTTTGCAAGAACATAAATTTAGATATAAAGTTGGATTAATAATATTAATTTAACTTTAATAAAGCTGTTTGATAATAGACGATTTATATAGTTCTAATCATAAATCATAGCAATTCCATTCTTATAAATAGTTTCTTTAGTAATTCTTTACTTCATATTTTTTTGAAAAATAATCGAAATTTAGTAATTTGAAGAAGAAAACTTTCGCATATCCGAGTTTTAATAAAAACCGATAAATTTAGATAATATTTGCTACTTTTATTTAACTTTTAAAGTTGTTAACGATATATTTAGTACAGGAAATATAATAAATTTTATAAATTAATTTCTAAATTTGTCTTATTACTGAAACATTCGAAAACTTATTTAAATTTTACTTAATATTAATTATTTATTACTATCTATTTACTATTATCTAATATTATATTAATATCTAATTATTGCGCATAATATATCCATTGTTACAACAAGTAGGCTTATTTAAAATTCATTTTTCCAAAATTATATTCCATTATAATAAATATATAGGCCTATTAAGAAATTATTTATAAAAAGAAGTTTATTTAGAATACGAGTATATGTATAATTTTACGTTTAAAAGTCGATATTCAATTCATCTGTAGATCATTTTTAAAAAATATAGTATAATTATTAATTTATATATGATTTGATATGTTAATTTTTATGTAATAAACTTGTATCGTGCTTTCGTTTAAGATAAATATAAAATTGACGAAAGTTGATTTAAATTGGATTTTTTCTAAAAGCGTTCATTCAGTTCCTATTGGAATATATTCTTTCATTTTGATCTTCAAATATGATCTGTTCAATACGATCGATCGATCTTTATGAGTAAGAACTTAAAAGGAACTTCGTCCAAATTATAAAAAAGGTTCGATTGAAATCTTTTAAAAGAACAAATAACGTTTTAATATACGACCATTTTCCGGGAGATAATCAAAGCATAAACATCAGCATTTATTTAAATAAAACTGTAATTTTTAAGTGTAATGATTTAAGATGTTTATTTTTAATTAAAATCCTATAAACCAGAACAATTTAATTTAAAGCTTTGAAGAAAATGTTTATGAAAATTCGTTCATTCTATGGACACGTCTTCGTTAACTCTGATCGATATAATAGAAAATTAAGATGAATTAAGTAACGGTAAGCAATAGTTAAATACTTTAAGCCAAAGGAAATATTAATTTCAAATACTTACTACTAAGTAAAAGAGTTATGAGAGTTTAGGCCTAAAACTGAGCTCATAATTGATCAATAATTAACCATTGTCTTAAAATGGTTAATAAAATTAAATAAAATTGCTATTCTAAATAAGATTGTTAAGTCACTCATTTCTTATAATTATATCTAAGAACGATTATAGATAACTTCGTGCCATTTATAAATCATTCTTGATTCTAAGGAATTAAACGATTCAATTTCCCGTAAGAATCCTTTTGCGGCTTATTATGGATGCGTAGACACGAATCTAAATCAGAATCGAATTTCTCATCCCTATTGTTCTTAGATATAAATACAAAATTGGATTAGGCCTAATTATTTTTGGTGAACTTTATCCACATTCGATTTAAAGCTTATCCTTTGTCCTCACGTCCTTTGTTACCATTGACTGTAATATACGCGAAAGAAATGACTTTGATGATGTGATATCTTCGATTTGTGACAAATTTTTAGTAAATTTGTTTTCGTTAAGATTAAGATTATCTAAAAGTATTTATTCCACTTCTTGTTTTACGATTAAAAAGTAGAATTGATCTATTTTGTTATGTGTATAAATATGACTAGTTCGTTTATCGGTTTTGACGATAGTATCAGTCCTTCAGAAGTACGTATTCCTTCTTGGTTGCTCACAAGGCTCACATAGGCTCTATGATGTACTAGTTTATGACCCCATTAGTTGAACCTCGTCGATGTCACCGCAAAATGACAAATCTAAGATCTTTAAAGACGATCATTTAGTGAGACTGCTCATAAAATGTACTGCTACCATTGACTTACAGTAGACTTGCAATGAAATCTATAAATAAATAAATATAAGCACGCATACACTAAGCATATAAAATAAGTAATCTGCAAGTTAGATCCTGGCGTTATGATTCTACGGCTCACATATTTAAATCTTTCATTATTTGGCGGGACAGTCCCTCTCCTCTACCACATAGTGAAACCGTATTATCTAGGTTACATCTAATTGCTCTGTATAGAATTAAGTCGTGAAATATGGAAATAAAGACTTTAATACAGAATAGATTATTTTGTAAAAAAGTTATTTTAAAGTTTAAAAATTGGTGAATTATCAGATATTTTGGTACGTTTCGTTCCATCACCGAAATACATAGGCCCCCTAACGTTGTAAAAGTGAATGCAATGTCTACTATTGTGGGAAAAATACAAAATACAGTACAGTCTTACTACAAATCTAAATTCATATGGCACTTGCTACACTTAAAAAGAATTAGGTTAAAGGGCGTAGTAAGAAGGTAGATTTAAAAATTTGTTTTGGAAAATTAAATTTAAAGCTAGATGTGTCAATAGAAAAAACTATATGATTAAAATTTTTGCTTGATTCGATTAAATTGAAATTTTTAATAGAAATAAGTCGAGAACATTTATCTTAATTAATCCTGTAAATTTAATTTATAAATACGTGTAGTGAGGGACTAATGTTAAACAATATCTTATTGTTAAAAGAAATTTATAAACTTTGAAGTATCGGTGTAATTCATATAATTACGCATCTCTGAAATTAATTTTTTGTTAAATATTTAAATCCGAAATTCCCAAATATATACTCTCAAGCTTTCGTTAATTAGTGAGAAAAATAACATTTTACTTTTTTCCTTATAGGGAGACAATGGAAACGTTGCTGTCAGATACTTTAACTCATCCTTCATTCAGGCCCTTCTTAGATCCGGACAGACCGGACGACCTCAGCTGTCTCCTACTTAGAGATCATCCGGGACTTTTAGGAATTCCTGCTAGGCCGCCATTTATGTGGAAGCCCTCTCCGGGCCTTCCCATGGCCGGAGATACATGTAATCTGTTAGTGCACCCACAACTATATACCGCACGTGCGTTATCGCCTCATCTTTGGACGCAATGGGCTACGTCCGCTTCCGGTTTAATTTTTAACTCAAATCCAGTCAGACCACCTACTGAAAATTTGTCTCTCAACCGATATATGCCGTATTTTCATCCCAAAAGAGAAACTGCTGCCGGGTACAACGATCACGTGACTTCGAACGGTTTCAGGTGAAAGATGACCTCCGAATCTCTTTTATGTGGCCTGTACAGTTCCTAGGATGAATGAAGATTAATTGGCTCTTATTGTTAGTAAAACAATTTTTCTTGAATGTATTTATTTACTGGGAATCGAAGACGGAATACCGTCATTGTGTACATCTTTGTATATTAATTTCAGCAATAAAATCGTACAAATTGTATAAGGGTGTGCTTTAATTTTGCTTACAGGATACAAATTTAAGAGCAAATTAGATAAATTTCGAACAGATTTTTAATTTTATTTTTGTTTTTAAAGTCTTTAAATTTCTCCAAACAAAATGTAGAGAAATTCATTTTAATTCAAACTTGCTCACCAAATATTATGAAGAATCTCCTGAAATTTTCACGTAGTTTTATTCAGAAATGAACTATATCAAATCGATTGAATTTTTACACATTAATTAATCAAATAGCATATTAAATTTTAACTCTATAATCTACAAACTTNTAATAATTTCGTTTATCATATTTTAATAAAGTATAATATATGTATTTCATTATAACAATAATGTATTGTAAATAATAATTTATAAAATGAAATTTATTATACTATCAAAATGTTTGATTGAGTGTTGCATTGTAGGATAAGTTATTTTTCATGATTTTATTGTTTTTTTTTCTATTCTTCGTGATGCTTGTAAAGACTAAGATTTGCATCGTGTTGACACTATACTGTATTACTATATCAAGCTGTTACTTTACGTAATTATAGCAGTTTACTTTTACGTAAGTTACTGAAATATCACAGGTTAACATCGTAACTTTCCTCAAAATAAGATCACAAAATGTAATTTAAAATTAGATATGTCCAACAGTTTCACGCTAATTTTGAGGGTCCTGATCCACCAGTTTACTCAAGAGCATGGGCTTGCTTGGTGGGGCACCAAGCAAGCCCATGCTCTTGAGTAAACTGGTGGATCAGGACCCTCAAAATTAGCGTGAAACTGTTGGACATATCTAATTTTAAATTACATTTTGTGATCTTATTTTGAGGAAAGTTACGATGTTAACCTGTGATATTTCAGTAACTTACGTAAAAGTAAACTGCTATAATTACGTAAAGTAACAGCTTGATATAGTAATACAGTATAGTGTCAACACGATGCAAATCTTAGTCTTTACAAGCATCACGAAGAATAGAAAAAAAAACAATAAAATCATGAAAAATAACTTATCCTACAATGCAACACTCAATCAAACATTTTGATAGTATAATAAATTTCATTTTATAAATTATTATTTACAATACATTATTGTTATAATGAAATACATATATTATACTTTATTAAAATATGATAAACGAAATTATTACACAATATGTTCCTTTGTTTTTACATAAAGTATCATCTTTTGTATATTTAACAATAAGTTTCATGCCCGGTGAATATAAACTGAAGAAACAATGGTAACTTACACAAGTAATGTTTTGTGTTTCAAAAGGAAAATTTCAATATAATGAATTATTATCGTGTCTTACGGTAATACTGTAGTAAACAAGTGTCCCTATTAACAATATCAAGATAAACATGACCGTTACATTGAATACAATGGAAATAATCTGTTAGTGTAAATATTAAAAATAGATTTCAAATTTAATTTCGAAATTTTCAAAACTTTTAAATAAATAAAGCATATTTATTTGAAAAATATTAAACTGAAAAATCTTATTATTTTATGGAAAATTTCTTTTATACGAATAGAAGAAATGCGTACGATAATTCATTCTTTTTATGTATTAAAATTAAATTTTTACCGATAATTATTAATTTTTAATAAATATATTTTACATGAAAATGTTTTCTATTTTATTTTATTAATTTTCATAATCAGTTATTAGTAATTAGTCAAACCTCCAATAATGGCCACTGCTAAACAACGGCCATTTTTTATGTTCCCGTCAGCAATTGTTGTTCAGAAGTTTGACTGTATTTTAGAAATAAGCAATTTAATGTTATTGTAAATGCTAAAGAATATCGATATAGTTTCGAAAATATTTCTTAACTGATACAATAAGTCGACGATTGTGAAATTTCACTTTATTTCATAATAAGTTATAATTATAATATATGAATTAACTTATATATTCAAAACCATACATTCAGCAATGAATTTAAGTTTGGAATATTTGCAAGATGTAAAGAAATTCTTCATTCAAATGTAAAAAACTCTCAACTAATATTAATGAATTGACAAAAATTTCTTATTATTTAGCACTTTTCTGCATATATTTAAATCTGATATTAATCTGTAATTAATCTTAGAGTAAAAAGTGTCCAGATCAATGCTGAAAGTATTTATTACAGCATTTGTTTGCATATTTTTAGTCTAAGATCTAATATAATAATAAAACTCTTACACAATGACATCGCTTAGTAAGCAAAAAATTATAATTCTATAAATTCATCACAAATTTAACAAATATAATTATTTTAAAATAAATGTTTACTGACAATGAAATTTCTTTGTGTATTTCAATTTAAAATAAAATAGATTGACATTAAACAGAAAAAAATATAGTAACAAATAAATTTTTCAACCTTTTCACTTCTAGAATTAATTAAAAAAAAAACTCTTANAATAATAATAATAATAAATAAAGACAAAAATTTAATTAAACAATACTTTCTTTAAATAAATCTTTATAATAAAGGGATTTATTCATACATATAAATCCACATTTAAACAGAAATAATTGATCTTTAGTCTACCATATTTTACAAGCTCGTTTAAATATTTAAGTAACGATCTATTTTATAATATAGAAAATATACGAAATCCGTCTTCAATGTTTCACTCGTATCTGTTCTGACATACTAATTAAAGCCATTTGTTACTCAATTAAAATAGCACATTAAAAAATAATCCAATCTTACATGGAAATCTTCAATCTTAATTTCTTCTCTTACTTAAATAAAAAATTATTCTCATACAAATGCAGAAAACAGAAAAAAAGCAAACTTTTCACATTGCCTCTTGAATAAAAATGGAGTGAGAGAAAGAAGCAGAAAGCTGCAAAAAGTATTATATTGGCCTAGAGGTTTAAGATTTATGTATATTTTACAATCATTAAGGTAACTATAATTTTCTTTCATGCGAGTCTCCATAAATCTTCTCTTCTTTTCGTGTCAAATTAAAAATTGTATTTTTGTCAATTATTTAACCCTAGAGGGCATTGTGAATTGAACACGAAAGATGACTTTCCGTGATAAACATGAATATGAAGCTGTTGACAGCTTAGATAAGACGTGAATGACTAGAAAAAGCGTTTTCGTTATTTTTCTATCTGGTTAAAGCCTGTAGCAAAACTATCAATAGCCATGTCAATACAAAGGCAAAGTCTAGTTGTAGTAAAAACGATCTTTATCTGACATTTTGGTCAATCTGAAATGTAGACAATACGTATAGAAATATTATAAATTATAATAAATATACTGTACTAAATATATTCTAACACGAAGCGAGTTCTTTCTCGTAGATGTCAATTTACGATATAAAACTTGAAATTACTGAACAACTTTATACAATAAATTAACTGTTAATTCGCTAAAATATTAATATAAAATATAAAACTTATATGAACTGATTCTTAGTATAGATGTGTATTTATCGGATTTTTTGGTGTCTCATAAATTTGTAAATCATCCAGAACAGAGGGGACAAATGAGTCGTGGATAGGCTGCCTCTTTACGTATTTCAAGTATAAATTATATAACATATTTTAGAAGAATACGTCTTATTCAACATGTATACATGATAATTAAAGAAACTATAGTTTATTTTTGATTTTTTAAAATTATTTATTACATCCGCCTGTCTGTCTTTCCTTAATCTCAAGAACAACTTAGATAAATCAAATAGGAAACCAGATAGGGAAACCTTAGGGACAGGAGGTCCCGATTAATTATATATATGAATTTTTCCAATGTAAAAACCAGAGGACACGTTATTTCAATTCAAAAACGTTCCCCTGAAAACAGTTAATAAATGACCGGCACGACTCTATTGTTAAAGGAAAAGTATGATGTACAGGGGCAAGCCACTAATTTAAAGTGGAGAGCATATATTTTAAATTAAAAATATGATTAAAAATTGTAGCCCGACATTGTGACGACATCACAATAAATAATTGTTATTTTAAAAACATAATTTAATAAATTCAAATAAATTTAAGTTGCTCCAAATTGAATTTATATAAAATCTGAAATCGTATTCAGTGGTGCATTATAACTTCACGGGACCCAGGTGAATTTGAATTCGGATACTCCATGATGACTTCAAATATTTTTCTTCGCGGAAATATTTTATTATAAAAGACTGGTTTGGGATCTCCTGTCGGTGAGGGCCCTAGGCAATTGCCTTTTTTTACCCATAGGATAACGCATAACTGGTCATATTTCCTGAGTTTAATAGAAATAATATGAAAGAACTTTTTGCTAGATTCGCTAGTTAACTTCTTCTGTAGTATAATTGAAAAATAATTTATTGCCTTTATTTTTCAAAATCATTCATTTATTTCTTATGCACTTATCATATTTAAAGTTTGAAATCTTCAGAATTAACTCAAATTGTCAAGGTGGGCATTTATTTTTATGTTTTTTCTTACAAAAATTTCTTTTGAAGTAACGATTATTTCGGTTATTTAATGCAGACATAAATTTAACCCTAAAAATCTTAAATTTATCTCAGTACAATTATATACACTTTATATGCAAATTATTAAGTTATATGATGTGAGCATGAAATTTTATCTTTACGTTTATAATAAATCAAAATGGCACACGTTTAAATTTTTTATATTGGTATAAATTCCAAAGTTTTTAAATGTAGTCTACTTGAACAAAATTTTCGATTTGCATATATTTTATCAAAATTCGTGTTTGCTCATGATCTATTTACAAACTGGTAAGCTATAAATTATAGACTACTACTTTAATATAGTAACTGGTAGTTTGTCTATTCAACTTTTTCCTATTTCTATAAATTTAAATATATTTGAAAAATATCTTCATGTTCTTTAAAGTTTAGTTAACTTTTATACCTGTTAATAATAATAAATTACTATTAACTTAAATAAATAATAAAATTCTTTAAAAAAACTATTTATTATTTATTTTCAATTTCGCTTCAAATAAAACCTTTCTGATTAA